CAGGATAATGAAGGTCAGTCTTTTTAATAATTACGAGCAGATAACTTTACAACGGCGAGGGACTCCAATCTGCTGAAGTTTTGGTTGTATACAGAACAGCTTTTTGTACAATTTAATATGACGTCTCCCACTACTGGGAATGAAAAGTGGATATTGTTGAAGTCGACGAGATTAGCATCTCATATCTCTTTGTTGGAATATATACGCTGACTATAAACTAGAGATATTTTAGAAAGGTTTATGCTAGTTCAGTTACCTATGTTTTTAAGTCCACAACCTTAGAGTATTTAATATACGAATTCGTTAATAGATTTTAGTAACATACATGGTAAATTGTATATTGGATTCCCAAATTCAGGATAGCATGCATAACGCATTTAAAATTCCTCAAACACATTTATTTGTCACTGTCCTTCAATCGCTTTCAGTTTTTTAATGATTTTCTGGTGAAGAATGTCATATTCGGCATTAAGCTCGCCATTTGTGCAGATTTTACTGTGCAATATAAATATTCCAACTATCAAACTTCCTTAATAACTTACTGATGGCTTTTAGTATAATCCAGTACTTATGGACTTAAAGATAATTAATTAAACCAAAAATCTTATAAAAGATGGAAGATTATTTGTTTTTTTTTTATGAAAATGGAATGGTAACCCCGCCTGCGCTAACGGAATCTGCTGGCGGAGCACCAATGAAAGGTGATTGATGAGAATGAAAATAGCCCATCATGATGAATTCATCAGAAATTAACCATGATAGTTTCCAGGGGGAACCACGAGGAGGCTGACCTGGTACTATACCCAATATTGCTAGCAATGTGATTTTTAGTCTCCATTACTAACAATCCCTTTCCCCCCGATTATTTGGGTTAGGCTGATATCTTTATCACCCTTCTACCACCGTACTTCTCGCCATAAAGCTGGAGTTCACCCTCTTTATTTGAGGGCCTGGCTCACCACTGTCCGTACATTTCGTTCACTTCTGATTCGTGCATCTAGTTGTGGAATGAGCTTCCGTCTTCACTTTACCCCTTACAGTATAATATCGGGCTTTTCAAAAAACTAGCCTACAACCATTTAAAAAATCCTAACGTGTTCATGGACGACGACAGCCGCTTTCCATCAGGTGGACCGTCTGCTCGTTTGCCTTCCTAACAATAAAAAAACTCTGATAATTTACCCGAATTATCTCGACATTTCAACCAGGTTACACCAGCCGTGGTATCAGTCTACTAGTGACTTCAATGTAACCTGATAGAAAGATCGAGTTAATTCAAGTAAATTATCATAGTTTACCTATATAATTAAGTTAATTTCCGTCTCAAGAACAGTAAACATGCAACGCGAAAGTCTAAAAGTTCATAAATCAAAAATCAATCTCAAGAATTTCCGTACTTGAAAACCATTTATCAATGCACAGACAGTGTCCTAGTGCTCTGCGTTTCAATTATGTACTATTCATTAACTCCATTACAGTTCGCCGGTTCCTTTACATCGTACCATTAGTGTGTAATAAATACTTTGAATAATGAGACGGCGCTATTGAAATATTTGGATAATGTCGGGAGATGGCAGCCGTAAAGGTTCCGATGACGTCAACGCACCAACCCCGCTTCATTGTCAGACTGTATTAGGAGCGACCTTTCTGTGCCACTGAGCTTACTATGGATTATATTTGGGCCATACAAACGCGAGAATGTCAAGGATTACGAACAATGATGTACAGATAAACCCTAGATGCATAATCGGAGATTAAAAAACAGAATCGCGAATCAAAAATAGACTTGGTATACAAGTTATATGCTTGGATACCACTTTCCACTAGTCTTTTTAAATAGAAGTAGATATATAAGGTAGGAGGTAAATATTTATTGCAAGAACATATTACTTCTTATATAAGGCAAAAGGAGCTGTATTAGCTGATGCTGCGAGTATCAAAAGTGCAATGTGTGTAGCTGCACAGAATTGCTTTTCAGCCAGTCTCTCTCTCTTATTAAAATGTAACAAAATTTAAAATACATAAAAATATAACCCCCTTATTCTTAAAAACTTCAAACCACTTATATACCCATTTAGCTGTTGAACTCTTTCGTGACGTTAAGTTCTAGATTGCTAATTTGAAAGAATGTGACAACACAGTGTAACAGTTAAAATAAAGTTGATCCTCGTATTTATAATTATTGGCAGAAGAATCAAAGTGACCGACTTAACCCGAAGGATAAGTAAGATAAAGTGGCAATGGGCTTATCTTATCTTTTATTCGCATATGGGGTCAGCTAAGCCGTTGCACGTCGACCCATTGGGATATTTTGTGCTTCCCCCAGCCTTATACCATCATTTTATAGATCCTATGTGTTATTTTGCGATAATCTGCTGATCACATAGCTTGAAGAACTAACAAGCCATGGAGAAGACTCAGAACTATTCCTATACCAGAGGGAGGCTTTGTACAAAAGTCGATTGCTTGGGTACCTCTGTCTCATTCGTGTTTCTACTGTGAAACAGTTGTGTTTGCATGGCTGTGTTTCGGTTTGAAGGGTGGGATATGGCGTGAATTTACAGGGTACAGAGGAATAACACCTGAGTCCTCAGGAATGACAACGCATGGGGCGTATCATAAGCGAAACAGTATATGCCGTTATATCCATGGTACTACTCATGTCTATAGGCGACGATTACCACTTTCCATCAGGTGGGCCGGCAGCTTGTTTGCCATTCTAAGTCGTATAAAAAAAAACTATTCCTTATGGCAGTCTATAAAGAGGCCTATATACAACAGTGGAGAGAACGGTTGATATGATAATGATGATGATTTATTAGTTTCGAACCATCGAGTGACGTAGACGTTTTTACAATTTTTCTCTAAATATGAAGCCTAGACTCTTAGTTTCATATTTTTGGTTAATAATCAATTTTACTCATGTCCTATCCTATGATTATAATACTGAATTGTAATTTAGGACTCTTTTGGATGTAACAATAATGTGAATGTGAATGTGTATTTTATGTCTATGATCACGAAGCACTTTTATAATTAGATAGATAGATACTCTTTATTGTTTCCTCCAAAAGATATAAAATAGTAAACTTATTATAAATATAAACAATTACAAGAAATAATCACAATGAGTTTAATAATCAATAATGATTAAAACCGTAGACGCAGAGGAATATTTCGGAAACGATTTGATTGAAAAGCTGTGATTACGAAATCTGAATTTTGCAGTAAGCCTCGTTTGGGCTTAATCTCAGAAGACTAAAAAAAGATACAAAATCTTTTGTTTTTTTTTTTTTTTTTTTTAATATGTATCAATATCGGAATGAAAATAGAAAACCATCGATCGAAATAAGATACACTAGAACTAATGTTGGCAATTTATACTAGAGGGAATTCAGAGGATCAAGTATCACTTTAAATGCGCAATGAAAATTTCAAAAGCGCAGGACAATGTCAATTACTTAATATATAAAAAGTATATAAGTATATATAGGCTGTAAAAAATAAAAGACTTTTGTGACTTCTAAATTTTTATTGTACCCTATTGTTAATTAGTTACATACGAGTACAAGCCATGTTTTCGTTCGTGTAATGTTTATTTTACTAATAATGTTGATTTCATTAAGATTTTTTAATCACAATAAAATGTGCTAAAATTTTAACAAAATTTGTATTAGACTAATATTTTCGTTTTAGTTTTCGTTTAACACTTACGATTAAGAAAAAGAATCGTCAATATGGGTTTAGAATTTGTGACGGTATCATGTAACAAACATAAAGAAATGCAATCGAATCAAGAGGCTTCCTTTTTAAGTCAGTTGACTTGAAAATTATTTATCCACTTTTGATGGTAATCACAAACAATGAGTCGGTCACAGTGGCTAAACAGGAAATGTACCTGTGACCCCAAAATAAACTGCGGTCAATTTGACCGCAAAACACTACGTTGCTTTATTCCCCAGCCGCCTTTTAATTACCGCCTTCTCACGAATAAACCGACCGTAGTTTATTAAACTTTATGTATTAAATTTTCCGACTTTTTTATACCTGCTGCGAGTGTTAGATATCTATAGATACTATGGTAACTATATATTATATATAGTTTTTTTTTTTTTTTATTGGATGAAAATGGAGTGGTAACCCCGCCTGCGCTAATGGGATACGCTGGCGGGGCACCAGTGAAGGGTGATCGATGAGGATGAAAACAGGTCAGTTAGCCCATCATGATGAATTCATCAGGAATTAATCATGATAGTTTCCAGGGAGAACCGCGAGGAGGTCGACCTGGTTGGGTATATTGCTAGCAATGGGATTCTTAGTCCCCATTACTAACAATCCCTTTTCTCCCACATTATATATAGTTAGCTATATATTAAATATATATTAGGTAGTTATATATAAAAAAAAGTAAATCCCACGACGCGTCAGTTAAACCCAATGTTGGTCTAATTAGCTACTTACACCGGTAAATTAAAAGCAGTTTTTATTAATTTTGAAAAATATATTAATATTTCTTAAAGAACATTCATTATTATTTTGTTAACTCGCCAGCCAGGCGTGGCAACTACTAGCAATACTCCCACGGGGGAGGCTTGTGTTCAGCAGTGGACAGCTAACACGGCTGATATTTTGTTGAAATTTTTATGAATGACTTCAAAAAGTATTACAAAGTCAATAGTACCGGGGTACCAGTAAGTTGCGTTAGTTTATTATTGAAGTCGATTCATCATGACTAATTTACCACGATGGTTACAAGTAATAGGGCAATTGAGGCCTATAAAATCAAAGACAGCTAAATCCAAGTTTGTCACTTGACAACACAATTATTTTCATTATTCCAATTTTAATCAGTTTTGTTTTTGGGCACAGTCTTTAATTATTAGATCTTCTAAAATTTTAGAAATTACTCAAAATTTTTTCGCAATAATTTACTAAGTTGACAAAATTGAAATTCAAAACTCTACCTCTTGTTAATGATTCCTTTCATTGTGCTCTTCCAGACTGGTGGTGTCCCAGAACCAGAGGGCGCTACACATAGTGTTCCCCCACCACTTCTTAGACTCGCCAGAGTGGTTCGGCGTGTCTACAGATGAGTACTTCCAGGTAATGTATTTATTTAATGTCTTTTTTTTTCTTTTTTACTTCTTATTTCTTACTAGCGATCCGGCCCCGGGTTCGCACGGTTTGATGGAATTTTGGAAAATAATATACGTTATTCGCTGATAATGTAAGCTTTCTACAGGTAAAAGAATTTAAAATATCGGTTGAGTAGTTTTTGAGTTTATCCATTACAAACAAACGAACAATTAATCAAATCTTTCCTCTTTATTATTCTAGTAAACATAAGCTGACTTGACAAATGTTATCCCTCACTATTACCCACGAAGTCAAAAGAGTTTTGTGTGGAAAAACGAAAAATTGAACTTTTTCTAACGAAAAATATTTTCCGGGCATATTTTCTTATTTTTTGTTCGTAAAGAATTTTTATTGGACTTCAACGATTATTAAAAAATAATAATAACACAGATTGGTCCAACCATTCTCCCGTTTTTTCCTTAACAACATATTTAATTATTATATTTAGATTAATTATTTATATATTTGATTAGAAATGAGAAGGTATATTTATAGGTACAAAATAGAGAATAATAAATTACAATAACAACTATACTAATGTAAAATATTGTATATCAGCTGTCAATGAAATATACATATATGTAGATTCGTATAATCACAGATTATATATCCAACAAGTTAATTTGTAAATGTAACTGAATGTAATATTGGCAAAGACAAGTATAAACCGGTTACCGAAGATAGAACACCATACACGGGAGAGAAACATGGTGGACCCACCAAATAAGACCAGTCGTTCACCTCGCCAACCCCACGCGCATATTGGGGCAAGGATAGTGAAAGTGTCATAACATAAAGTAGCGGATTGTTTACTAGCAGACTGCGTGTGCGCAGCTGTTGCTCAAATCAGTCACGGTATAGATTTACAATGCAGGCGACGAAAATTGGATGCATGATGTTATAAGAAGTGTTTGGTTTTTTAAAACAGGGGTGGCAAACAAGCATACAGCCCGTCTAATAGTAAACGGTCACTGTAGCCTATGAATGCTTGCAGCACTAGGGGTGTCACGTGCGCGTTACCAACCCTGAAGAAACCTAACCTTTTTTTGAAGATATACTGTAATCTCTAGGGAAAACCGTAAATAGTATATAAAATTGTAATATTGCGGGGTTACCATGAAACAGTCAGCCCGAATTTCGTACCCAAAACGAAAGGCGGCCTAAATAATATATACCTAAATGTAATGTAAAGCAACTATGAAGTTTTTCGGATTTATTTACTTCGGACGATGACCATAGATGTGTACAGGAAATGATAGAAGATGAGAGATCTTCTATCATTTCCTGTACACATTCATACTGTTTTTTTTATTGGATGATAATGGAATGGTAACCCCACCTGCGCTAACGGTATACACTGGCGGGGAACCAGTGAGGGATGACAGGTGAGAATGAAAAGGCAGATCAGCTAGCCCATCGTGATGAATGCACCTGGAATTCAGCACGATAGTTTCCAGGGAGGACCACGTAGAGGTCGACCTGACAGGGTTATACTGCTGGCAATGGTCTGGAACTGGTAGTCCACATTTTCTGTACACTAGCCTGCTATGAATTGACAAAAATAGCAACTGATGATGTATCTTTCGTTCTCTTTTTACTAATTATATTTACATAAGAAGAAAAGAGGCAACCATATGATTTACAGTTTTTATTTTATCATTCCTTCTATGTAATTCCTTGTTCTTAGAGTATGCATGGATCTATAGATTAACGAACTTGCGCATAGAACGGAACGCGAGCTGCGAATAAGATTTGTGAGTGAAACGAGATACGAACGCAAGTACTGTATCCTTAATCTATGGGTTCGAATGTTCCATATTTGAATGCGACAACGTATGAACGTGTTACTTAACAAGTTCACAGATATTTTGTTAATTTTTTAACGAATTAAACAACTTGTGAATAGAACTAGAAATTATACTTGATGCCGATAACATTGCAGGTGTCAATAATGGCTATGGAAGAGTCCCGCGTGCTGGTGTGGCATCGCGACAAACTGAAACTGTCCATCATGTCGGACGGCTTCCTGCAGGCGGTGTTCGATCACATACTGGGCCGAGATGTGGTACATAAGCTTATGCAGGTATGTGAATAAAATATTTATTTAATTGTGCTTAGAGTAGTAAACAAGCTGAAGGAAAGTGGTAACCGTCGCCTATAGACATAAGTAGTACCATGGACATAACAGAGTATACAGTTTCACCCGTGATACCCCCCCATGCGTACCCTGTAAATTCACTGCCACCCTTCAAACCGAAACACAGCCATGCAAACACAATTGCTTCACGGTAGAAACACGAATGGGACAGAGATGCTCAAGCAAACGACTTTTGTACAAAGTCTCCCTCTCAGTAAATGGTCATCCGACGAAACTCCAGCAAGTTGGAGGCTAATTGTGGATACTGGCTCAAAATAACTGGTACCAATTACGTTCAATGCGAATTACAGGTGAGCGAAACGATGGCAGTAAGTAACGGCCACCTACCCAACAGTTACGAAGAGGGTGAAGACAAACCTATGCTCGTGGTGAAGAAGGCGGGCGACGGGCCCGGCATCACCGCACTACTCAACAGGCAGCTGCAAGGTACGAACGTGTTGCTTGCTTTCCAATTTACTCGATGTTTTGAACAACTGTTTTGACAAAATACAAATATTTAAGTTGTCTAGAAAAGGATATAAAGAATACTAGCTGTTACCTGTCGCTTCACCCGCGCAAACACTTTATATTCCTTACCTACAATGTGTTCGATAAAGTAAAAGAAACAATTGTATTGGCGTGATGCATAGAATTCCGTTTCGTCTAAACCGATCCTAATTTTAAAGAGTGTGTTCATGTTCTAAAATAAATCTGTATTCGAATTTTAAATTTCTAACTCAATGGCCATTTGTTCCATATTCAAAAATTGTGCGTTGATAGATTAGTTGGAAAATCTATATATTTTGTTTCTATACAAATCCTCAACATCTTTGTATTCGACTTCGCACTGTTCTCCATCTGTTACCATCTTACCTGAGTGCGTTACAATCACAATTTTTTGATAGAACACTTAAAATTTCAAAACAGTTGATCAGAAATATATGCATGAGGTTAGTACAATTATGTAAACTAATTTATAATTAATTCTAGACTGAAGCTAATTCTTTTGGCCTGGTTAAATTGATATAAAAAAAAAGAAAAAAAATCATTACATTTATCATTTATTTTATCTGTAGTGAATGAGCGTAGATGACAGTCATTAGTAAATGCTTATTAATTAGCTCCAGGCTTCGGTTATAAAATATTACGTGTATTATAGACTAAGAACACATTTTTGTACAATAAATACATAATACAAAAAATTATTATTGTAATTTACTGTTATTTTTTTTTTTATTTGAATCTTATTTTTAATTACTAATTTCAATTACAAATGACAAAATGACGATGGCAAAAATAAGTATGTCTTATTTTTTTGCGCTGCGTCTGATATGAATTGTTCTTTATTTTGAATAAACTAAAAATGCATTCTTGGTCTTGAAAAAATTCTAATTAATATGTGCCCTGTGAGAACACTCGCAAAAAAATTGGTAAATAGATGTATTGGATGTCGTTACATGTCATAATTATATTCTGTTTCGATAGAACTTAATGAAAAGATAACCGAGTTTTGTTGAAATAAACAGAAATATTTCTAAATGTAAATCTAAACATTCAATGGAATTATTCGATTTTAATTTGTATTTCTATTGGATATCAGTAGTCTTGTCTTACAGTCGGGTCAATTATTCGTTTATTTACATTTTCATTAAGTTTTATTAAAGCAGATTATGTCTAAATATATAAGTTAATGTTTTACAACTTAAGCGTGTCTGTTTTTGTTGTTATTATTTTTATAAATTATACATTTTCTAGCTGGCTATTTGAGGTTTGCTTGCTTTTTTTATGTTAAAACTATTCTATACCTACTAGTTCATCTATCAAGGCAGACGTGCTCATGTTGTTAGTTCAATCAATTGGTATGTTTTTATGGAATCAACTATTTCATACATTATGCTCCTTTTTGGTTGGATTCAATGTTCTGTTTAAGCAGATTATTTGTCAGTAGCCTTGAAAACTTGCCTTATTTTTTTCTTTTAAATGTTTTATTTACTATTTCTTTTATATTTAAAATTCATGATTTATTAAGCGAATTAAAGTGATATTATTTTTTAGTTACCGATTTCTTATGGTTACTGTCAAATAATAACATAAATTACACAAGAGGACTTCTGCTTTGTTGTTAGATATGACAATACATAATGTTTTTTGTGACGTGATTGTTCAAATTGATAAGACACGTTAGAGACCATCAAGTACGATAAGTGCTACCTAGAAAGTCTTGACACCAGAGGATGCCACACACATACGAGAAGTAATAATCAAATCAAAATCAAAATCTATTGGAAAAACTCTCTTAAATAGAAAAGTAGTCAAGTCCTCTTGTTCCTCCTACCCTGCATCTTTAGATTATATAGATGGACAGTCTTCATACAAATGCTTCGGCAAAAACAGGTCAACTTATTTATTCATGTGTGCGTGAATCTCGTTACCAGAATGTATAGTTATTACTCAGTATGTATGTAGGAGAAATATATGGTAAAGTTTAATATATTTTTAATGGGTAAAAATGAAATAGTGGCCTCCGCCTGCGCTACCGGTATACATTGACGAGTCACCAGTTGGGGATGAGAGGTGAGGATGAATACAGGTCAGTTGACTCATCGTGACGAATTAAACAATTATTAATCACGATAATTTCCAGGGGTATCGCATGAAGTTCGATCTGATAGGGTATATTACTAACAAAGGAGCAGTTAGATGAAAGGTTTTGTTAGGTACAAGTAAGTTCAAATTAAAAAATCTACACTAATTTGAGGAATTTTCATCCAGTTAATTTTAAATTAAGAAGGTAAAAATTACCAAAATTCAACTCAGTCAATATTATTTTTTGTTGATTGAATTTTGATCTGTTTTAACACTTGATGATCCATCTGTATAATCTAAGCGTGCATCGTAAATGTTGTGCTTGTGCTGACGCGTCTGCGTGTCGCCGCGTGTTGCGAACAGGCGAGCACGCGCCGCTGCTACGCGCCGCGCCCGCCGCCCCCGCCGACCCCTCCGCCCCCGGCTGCTGACCGCTGACCGCGTCTCCCTCGCGCCCCAACCCACAACCTCCATCGAACCCCTAACCCTTTTCCTTTCATTGTCCCCGACATTCGAGTTATCCACTATTACACGATCCAAAAGGGAAATGTTTACACATGTTATTAATATAAATAACTGACGTGGGTTTCTATATCTTAACACTTTGGTATATGGCTTAAGTCCAAATATGGCTGCTTTATTTACTTACTTTTTTACTTAACTGTATTATTATCATATTTTTTGTGCACTCCGTTGAGTGTGAATCAGCATTTATTTTTATTTGCTAAATTAACACCATTCTATATTTTTATAAGAATATATAATATGTTGTACTTTCCTTCTAAAAAGAACAAAAAAGTTTTTATTTATATGTCCTTAAGGATTCCATCAGCCAGATTTTCGTATAGAAATGGAGAATCCTTTACGGTTCCACACCTAACAAAATATGTACATGTAGATCTTCATATTATTATGTATTTCATAATAAACGTATCTATATTACATTCTTTGTAAATTTACTAAATGCACGTAATTTGCAATAATTTAGTAATTATGTGTCTAGCAGTTGTGTAGATGCGTAGACATAATATACATCATGACATCGTTATATAAACGAATTTATATAATACCTACCATGTTTATTGATATTATTATTGTATATATTTTGCATGTGAACGTATATTACCTATTATTTAGGTTACCAATTTTGATTAATGTAAATTAAAAATAATTAAAATGACAGGAATATTTGTTTACATTAAAAACGTCGTTTAAAGCATTGACAACTGAAGAGAACATGTTATTTCTCATTTTACGGGGAAGGATAATTATATAAAATTTGCTATAATGAATTTTATAAAGCGCTTTTGAAAATTGCTATGATTTTTTTTATGAATATTTTTTATTTTTATTTGTGGAAATTTATTGTTCATTAGCTTCTTGAGTAGATATAATTTTATTTCGTTTAGTTCCACAATCGTAATCATTCTTAAAAAGCGTCGATTAGTTGCGCTTCGTCAAATGTAGCACCACCTTTAATACGTGTGTGATCACTAACCTTGTGTAACTATCCATTCCTTATAAGAACAGCGTTAGATATTTCTTAAAAAGGGTTGATGTTTGCACCCATACTAATGTACACCTTTGGTGTATGTGTGACCACTAACCTAACTAAACAGAATCTACTGTTAAATGTCATTTTTTAAATAGGTGTAGGGTAAGGTTGCCTTAGCCGTACCGCCGCCCGAGTCGTATCCCGGTAATATCTCGGTTGATACTTATAAATTTCTCCATTTAGTATCATCAACCTGAAATATGTTTAGGAGGACTTAATCGTTAGAATCATAGTACACATCGAGCTTTTGATTTATTTTATATTAAGTAATAAAATCCTATTATTCCGTATACAATATCGCGTTAAAGTGAGTCGTGAAGCTGGATACGTGGCTGAAAATATATATTAACAATTGATAAAATTACCAATCAAAGTTTCACTTGAATATTTAATCTCCTGAGCCTTGCATAAAAACAGCAATTAAAAAATGAAGACTGGTACTAAACAGTGGAATTTATTTGAAGTCCTTACAAAAAGGGAATAGAAACCAAGGAAAATATAAAAAAAAAAGAAAAAGATTTAATAAAAATATAGTTTATATGTATTCTATTACTAGTCTATTTTCTAAGTACGACTAAGGCTATAGATGGTACGAAATAGGCGACCAGGTGACTCAATCGTACCGAAGGCATATTTTTAAAAAAATTTTAAATTAGGTATTTTGATTAAAGATTTTCAAGTTTCTATGACTGTTAATTAAATGGCAACTAAATAAAGATCCAGTAAGTACAGAAATTTTCTTTTATTTTAATTGCTCTGAATATAACAGTTTATTTCCTTAGGGGATATGGCTTGAGCGACCTTACTCTAAATGGAATGATAAAACCACCTGTACTAACGGTATATGCTGGTGGAACAGTAGTTAGAGATGATAAATGAGAAGTTGGTCCATCGTGATGAATTCAACAAGAATTAACCAGGTTGGTTTCCAAGGGGAACCGCCTGAAGATCGACCCGATAGGGTATATTTCAATCAATGGCTCATTCTCTATACTAGTGGGAGATCTTTACCAACCAACCCGATTGATGGCGCAACTAAACAAAATAACACCAGTACTTTGGCTGAGAAATGCTTATATAAATTTTTCCCTCGTAAATTTAATGGTTTAAGGATTATTATTTTTATATATCATTTTAAATAATTTGGTAACCTTCCCTCCTAGACAACGTATAAATGGATCTATTGATAAAATCATTATCGGTAACGAGCCCATGAGATAGAAAGAGACGGCGTCGTGTACTGTCTTGTTCTTTCTCGCGTGAGCGCTGACCGAAACGATTCTATTGATAGATTCGTTTGTACCTTGGATAAGACGGCTTATCTAATATCCTAGTCTGATTGTGCTAATAAATCTAATACCTCTCTACTTAGATTATTATGCATGTGATGTATTAACATATATTTAGAGAAAATGAATAGATGCTAGTGAACGTAAATGAGTATTGAAATCATATATATATATATATATATATATATATATATATATATATATATATATATATATTTTTTTTTTTTTTTTTTTATTTTATCAAAACGTACACGAATTTAATGTTTCGTTAGCATCTCGTCATGTTTCCATTAAGTGTGCTTTACTATTATTGTACAATTATACGTAGTTATTATTATTAAGTCTAGTTTATGTAAGGTATAATGAGCTTTATAAACGATTACTATCCTTATCGTCCTGTCCTTAAACTCCATATTCCTAAAGCATGTTTGGAAGATCATCATACGAAGGTAATTTTTTTTCTTTACGTTATTTTTTCCACCCGAACGCACCCAATTGTTCAACCCAATGTTTTCTTTTCCAATGCTTTATTTCACCGGGAGAGAACTTACGCATTTTCATATCACATTGAAGTTGTTTATGATAATGTAACATTAAGGAAGGGACGATGAGTATTAAATCATTAGATAACAGTATATTTAGTAGGAATAGTTGTATTAGAATTATAGTGAGTCAATAACACATCTCTAGAATTCACGCTATGGATATGCTTAGTCAGTGTCACGCACGGTGTTTATTAAAATCACTAGCAATCACTTTAACCGACCACCTTTTCATTTCTTTTGCTAAAGAGTTATACATTTAAAAAAAAAAATTAAGTCTATAAAATTATGGATGTTTTCATTGTAAACTTATTTGATACAGATTATTTTTGATAACAATCCGTGTAAACGTTTCGGGGTTAGGTGTCGGGGATCCTAAATTTTTAATGTCTTACTTATTAAATTAAAAACAACTTGTATATATGCTTTGTACAAAAGTAATCAATTAACATCCATTTAATGTTATTAGTGCGCGTTGAATCGTTTTTATAATAGTACTTTTAACTTAACGCAATAACAACATAGTAAGGTTACATGGGCAGAAGGAGTATTTGTACAAATGCCTAATGCACTTGTACACCTGACTTATATATTTTCGCCGCTAATCAACTTGCTTTCGTGCTGTTTTAATTTATCGAGATATGGTATCATTATCAATTAATAGGTAGTTTAACACGTTCACGCCGGCGCGGGCCACGGGTGGCCCGCGATAGACTGTCTCATTGGATGGCGCGTACCACCGGCGGTACGCACTAGATTGTCTTATCTGGCGGCGCGTACCACCGGTGGCCCGCACTAGACTGTCTTTTCTGGCGGCGTGTACCACCGGTGGTACGTATTCGATTGTACTATTAGCATCAATTAGAGCGCCGCCTCGCAGCAAAAAACATTAAAGTCGGCCCCGGCGTGAACCTATTAAGATCTTAATGCAGGGGTCAGAAACGTGCAAGTAATGCCTTTTTATACATTTATAGACTGTGTTGATATTAATGGGTACTTTACGATCCTCCTATCACAAGATAGACAACGCGTAAGTAAAGCCACTAAACTCTGCCGTTGCAAGCATTTTTGGGCCGCGGTGGCTATTTACCACCATTTGAACCTGTCCATATGATGTTTTGCTTCAACTCAACAGCTGATCACGTAGTATTAGTATGAGAAACTCAATTTTTTTTATTGTATTTCTAAGTCTCCTTTGTGAAAATAATCAGATTTGCTGATAAAACACTCTCTTCAAAGTATTCGATCTCACCCTGTATAGAAAATAGAGATTCGATCATCAATTCCTTTATAGCAAATTCTACCTATTTGGTCTAACGGATACATAAATAATTATAATTCATAATAGTTCTATATAATTGAAATAGAAATTGTATAATTAAGCTTTATATATAGCAACAGACCCGAACGCGTGGCGACTGGGTCGGATCGAGGAGGCAGATCACGAGACGCCGGTGTGAGGACGGGCCCTGCACGTCGCGGTGCGACCGCGCGCTCTGCATCGCGGACCGCAACACGCCCGCCGCTAGTGCACGTAACTATCAACACTCGAATATTCAGAACGCGCTATAGTGTTACAGCAAGTGAAGTGGACATGTTGATGTGTGAACTAGGCCTTTAAGCTTGAGATTCGTAATAGTCACAAAGTTTATGCGTTACCAGCTTTATGTCAAGTGATCGTATGTAATAAAACCGATCAGTTTTGCAATAATTTGCAGTGCACAATTTTTCGATACAATACAAATGGTTTCATACGTGAAGCCCCTAATTATTGAAACTGTTTTAAAACTTACTTATTGATTTAATATGTACTTGATATTGTACCGAGAGCACCTCTAAAAAAATTAATTAATTGTGACCTTGGTCATAATTAATTTAATTAAAATTTCTTTATTAAAATTACCTGACTGATGATTTTCTAACTGGATGCAGAAAAACGACTTCCTAAATTATATCTGTATTGACTGAAAAATAGCCTATCATATCAAGGAAATAACCTAGCCAATATTTATATATAACACCTTTGATATTTATTGAAATAAAGCGATTGAAAATAACTTCTCGCAAACTGGCATATCTCAGTTCATACTTTCATACTTATTGCATTCTTGCGGACATGCGCTCCGTTGTGTGTGAAATAGGCCTAACGAATGTTATACTTGCAATATTTTTTATAAATATTGAATATACTATGGTGTCTTTAGAAAATGTATGGATATAAGTAGGGATTTAAAATCATGATTGTGCGAACGGAAAGATGATATTACTATTATTTTATGTATATAATATACATTGTATGTAGATAGATATATAATTGATATTGGCCACTCCTTTTGTATATACGATAGGTACATACCTTATGTCCCTATAGTAATTGTAACAAACGGAAAAGTATGTTTTGTGTATATATTTATATATAGACAATAGATATTATATTTGTAATACGTGTGTGTACAAAATATATGTTTAAACGAATTTAAAGGGAGACGTAACTTGCGTTCTGTTTCAGCTAGAGTTTCATAGCAAAATTCCCATACAAAGTTTTTAATATAGCTATTACCTCACAACAGTATTTGGGGTCCTAATATTATATTTAAAAATATTTTTCAATTAATTTTGCAATAAATTTTGAATTCGTGACTTAATTTTTTTTTTTCTAAGGCAGTATGATACAAATTAAGATGATTCAACCATACAATTTACATTTACAAGCATATAAGCTATTTATTATGAAGAAATTATAGTAATAAAGAACAAGTACACAACTTATGACCTGCGCACTCGAAGGACATTTTATCTGCGGCCAAAATTGCCTTTTATATTTTGCTTCATTTTCCCATGCTTTAAATAAATTAATATGTTCACGAATATAATCCATAATGGAGTATTTGGGGTATTTAATGGATGATAATGGTATGGTAACCCCGCCTGCGCTAACGGTATACGCTGGCGAAGCACCAGTGAAGGGTGATAGATGAGAATTAAAACAGGCCAGTTAGTCCATCATGATGAATTAATCAGGAATTAACCATGATAGTTTCCAGTGAGAACCGCGAGGAGGTCGACCGGAGGATTCTCAGTCTCCATTACTAACAATCTCTATCCCCCCTCCCTAATGGAGTAGGTAGGGGGATATGTCGACTGTTTATGAATGATCAATGAATGACATGTATTCGGCATACTAAGATCATTCATTTTACGGTGAGTATATTTGCATCAAACATGTCAAGGATCGACAGCCACCCTGTCCCAATTGATCCAATTGACGGCAATAGGATTAATTCAGTGTTTAATCACCGCAGTATGTGTGGGAGATTTGAAGTGATAATCAAAAATTTTATCAGTTAAATTCGAATTAACAAATACTGTATGTTGTGCGTGCAATACCGTACGCGACATCACAAAGATCGCTGACAAAATGTCCATCGTGTAGTACGGCCTTTAACTCAACAATGAAGCAATAAGTACAGTTATAAAATAACGGTATTGATAAAGGTGTCCTCTTCATGTAAACGTGTATCGAATATTGTATGTTTGATGTTTAAATGTTCTTTGAATATGATGTACCTAAACATTCCAAATTATTTTTGTTTTGTGGCTAATTTGAATGTTTCTAATTGTTACTATTGGTAACGCACTGCCAATGCAAACTATTAATATAGGTATTGACTGTAAGCTCCTATGAAATGTGCAGCTATGGACGCTATGGTTATATTTGGTAAATGTCTAATATGTTGTAGAACAATCTTAAGTGATAAAATATAATTACTGAAGTATTGTTATATTATGAGCCCGCAGAGTCCAGACGAGAGACAAATATTTCCTATCTGATTGAATAGAGCACTATTTTTTACGCCTACTTTAACACATTTAATAAACAATTATGGCATGTCTTTTTGGAAATTTGCAAATAACAAGACACAAAAATAATATTAAACAAATACATTTTTATTATAGGTAATATTTGTCTCTTTTATGTATCGATATTTCTATGAACTTCTCAAAATTATTTCAAATAAAAACCAATTATAGAAATAAATTCTCGATGGAAAATACCCAGTGAATATGACGATACCAACATAAATTCTTTGTCTGCTCAGGCTTATAAAGGCTAATGCAAACAAGCAACAGTTTTCAGGGTACACCACAATGTTCCTTTAGGTATATGGAGCACTATTCTTTTGTCATTTTAATGGACTAAAAAGTACCTGACTATCCACCATTATTATATGCGTCATCCAAATAAAACAGCAGTAACAACAGTGACAAAATACGTGCATACGACTATATCATTTGAATCTCTCGTGTTTTTGTTAATTACTTTTAAACTGTGATTTTATTTTGGTACGAAGACAAAATGTGATTGTGTATAGATCTATTACTTGCCTTGATGTATTTCATAGAGCACCTGGTGTGTTAAATTAGAATGCCTTAACGAATTGCCATTTGTGATGAATGTAAATTATGGATGAGTGACTATATATAAATTGAATCATTGTAGTACATGTTGAGACGACTAGAGATTAATGAAATAAAAGTAACAAATTGTGTAAAGATTGTTTTTTATTCTTACCCTCCTTTCGTTAATTGAGATTGTTACTATACTTCGAGCATTGAGAAATACATGTGACAAATAAATAGTAAAACCTAATGGATAAAGCTGAAAAAATAACCTTATCTTTACATATTTTGATTTTATAAATGTTAATAAATAATAAGAATTCTTTATACTATCATGAGTCATCAAAAGTCATTCTTCCAACTCCATGCTGTTTAATATACCTTCTGTACTGTTTATATTTATTATTTTCTGCTAATGCCTTTTTAGCCTCTTCATCCTTGATTTCTTTCCAAACTTTAAAGTTCTCTTTTATCCATAACTCTTCCTCCAAAAACTCTCGTTTCTCCTTATCATCTAAAGCATTAAATTGATGTTTTCCCAATTTCATATATTTCCTAATTAAATACAGTTTTTCCTCCTCTCCATATGGTTGCTTCAAAATAGTAAATTTCCAAATCCACCTCAAATACCAATAAATATAATATGTTATTGTATATGGTAAGATTATTAGTTGTACCCACAAAATGTCCACAATTTCAGGCTTGGCATAGGCACCTTTGATATCCATATTATCCTCTATCACCCTTCTAATTATCCTATCCTGCTCCTCCTTCTGTTCAGCCTTACTTTTCTTATTCTTTTTCCCTTGTTGATCCTTAATTTCTGCTTTAGCTATTTCTAACGCTTTATTTCTATACTTTGGTACAGTCATGAAGTATTTAATGGCAGTGTCATATTTAGACCAGGCACTATAGTACTGTATTAGAGATATGATTGTGATTGTGACAGATATGACAATTCTAACATCTACCTTCGGCGCCATGCGACGCCGGTAGTATCTATAATAATGGGCGTAATACTCCTGAGGATTATCCAACATATAGTCATAGTCGGCTCTCTCTTCATCATCTCGCAATATCTCGTATGCGGTCGCTATTTCTTTAAATTTTTCCTCAGCCTCTTTCTTGGATTCCTCTGTTCTATGTAAATCTGGGTGATGCTTCCTCGCCAGCTGTCTATAATTCTTGGCGATCTCATTTTTAGTAGCCTCTCTTGAGACTCCAAGTACATCATAGCAATTCACTTTCCCACAATAAATACCTTCCAAAAGATGATCGTGCGATGAAACCAGAGCGAACTGACATGTTAGAAAGATGTATAAAAAATATTTTAAAGGTAGAATCATTTTATTGATTAAAACATAATATAAATAAAATAAATGCTCGATTTTGTGACTAGTCGCAAATTTTTAATTTTAATACTAATTTGATAATTATTTTTAAAAATTTTAATACACGACAACAGCGAAACAGCCACCAACTATACAAAGTTTGACAATCGATGTCAACGTCATAACGACGTCGACTATTTTTGAAGGTGCGTTCTTCATTCTTGTAAAATTTATTATCTACTAAATAAATATAATAATCATAGAAATAAAACTAAAAAAGGAATTTTATTCTGTCACACCATTTTTTACAACTAATATTTTAATTTATTATTTTCTTGAAAGTATTATTTTATGAATCCGTCATTTTAACTTAGATCCATTAGAAATTTAGTTATAATAGCTTTTACGAGTGACTACGTCCGCATAACCGGGGTAAAAGTAGCCTATAGGAAGCACATTTTTTTCAGTTTGCCATTCTATGTTGCATAAAAAAATACATAATAGTCGGGTTTTTTTATGGGTGAAAATGGTATGGTAACTCCGCCTGCGCTAATAGGATACGCTGGCGGAGCACCAGTGAAGGGTGATAGATGAGAATGAAAACAGGTCAGTTAGCCCATCATGATGAATTTATCAGGAATTAACCATGATAGTTTCCAGGGAGAACCGCGAAGAGGTCGACCTGGTTGGGTATATTGCTAGCAATGTGATTCTCAGTCTCCATCACTAACAATCCGTTTCTCCCCTAACTAATTGTATTAGATATTGATTAAATTAGTATTAATTTCATTTGTAATTAATGTACTTTTTTTGCTGATGTCTTCTGGCCGAAACCTAATAAATTAGAAAAAAAAAAGTTTATGGACGTTTACTTTGACAGATGCCATGTAGACTGTTCATGTCTTGTTTCGTCCTTTGCTTATTTTTGTAATTTGATTTCTTATAATGTAGTCATATGTTTGTAATGTGAATAACTTATCCAAAAATGTTAGAAAACGTTCTCGAGAAGTTTTATGAAACAGTATTGGCCTTTATAACAGGAGCACATAACTCTGTAAAAGGACAATTAATTAAAAAACATTGTGAAAACCTCTCAACACATGGCGACATTAGTTTTCCAAATACTGTGAAATCGTGGCATGAATATCTAAATACAACCGTTGATGTGGATCCAGGCGTTACATTATTAAGTTTTATGGATAAACAAGTGGAAGATTTAATTGAACAGTCTAAGAATTGGGTACTAAAAATACGAAAAGTGAACGAATCCAAAGAGCGTGTTTACATGTTCATCGAACGCACGCACGCTATACGTGTGGGCTTGTTGGAAGCGTCGAGGAATAATGAATTTATAGAGCAAAGTATACGTGAAGGCACATCAAGAGTGCTTAGTGACCCAGTTGAAAATGAAAACTCTATTACATCCCTTCGTGTAAAGTATCTTACGAAGTCAATACAAAACCTTTATTGCATTAATTCAAAGTGTAAAAACTCTTTTTATAATATTATAGTAAGTTCCAAGTCTTCCAATGCCTGTGATGGAGGCAGAAAAGTTTTGTGTGGTGCTGTGCTTAATGCAAAAACTGGAGTTAAAGAGACATCAGTTAGTGGTGATGAATTTATTAGGTAAGAATTCTCATTAGAAAAGTTTATGACTGTTTGGGGGAATCAAATGTTAATAACAAGGACTAGGAGCCTGATTGTTAGCATTATTTTTATCCACACATTTGACATCCACACAATCTCTCCTGCAAAACATAGTGGTTAATCCCTTTAGTTGTGATCACTATGAATCATGGTTTATTACTATGGATCAACTAGTCTGACTACATTCTTGTGTATATTCTCGCTAGTATTCTAACAGTGGAGGGAGGAGGGATTATTAGTAACTGGGACTAGCAGACCCATTGCTAGCAATATACTTTGTCAGGTCCTCCTCTACAAGTTCTCCCCTTAAAACCGTCACTATTAATTCTTATGCAATTTGTGATGATGAACCAATTGGCCTGCTTCATTCTCACCTATTAGTGGTGCCCTGTCAACATATATTGATAGTACTGACTGGGTTACTGTTACATTATCGTCCACTAAGAAGTATCCTGACAGCATTAACAAATACATATTATTTGTTATATTGTGTGTTTTATTACCACTTAGGAATTAAAATTCTAAATCCATTAAAAATAATTTAACTATAAATTTAAAAAAGCCCCAACACAAAACTATAAAAATAGCTGATGACTTTGAAATACCTGAACAAAGTTTCATAAATTTTAACCAAGAACCATCACAATCATGTCAGCTTTCAAACAAAAAAACTGCATCAAAAAAAGAGCCATGATGCCACAGGCAGACACATACACACATCAAATTTATAACACCCCTCTTTTTGCATTGGGGTTTTAAAATAAAAGTTAAAGAGACTTGGTCTGCTTGATTTTGTATTTTATGTCACAGGAGCAAATTACTATAGGTCTATGTCTATGCCAAATTTTACTCAAATAAATTCTATCTTTTATTTACTTTTCATTGTGTATTATCTTCATAAATTATTACCTACTTCCCACTGCTTTGCCCATGTGAATCGGTAAAATATCCTACATGCTGAGTTAGGATATAATCTACCTGTGTACAAAATTTTATTCAAATCCATTCAGTAATTTTTGTGTGAAAGAGTAACAAATATCTATCCATTCAGGTAATCTTTTGCATTTATAGAATTAATAAGATTACATTTAAAATATTAATTAAGTACTGGCGTTTAATTAATTAATTCTCATCAAACCAGAATGAAGTATTGGACTTTATTACATTTAGACAGCATAGTTACCAAAGTTTTTATACAAAAAAGATATTGATAATAAAATATTTCATTTACAGGATAAGACAAGGAGAAATGACATTAATAGCACAACACAAATATGGCGTGAGGGTGTCCACAGATACAAAATGGAAAGAGTTCATATCACACCTCGGTGAATCCGCTGTTGTGTTTGAGTTGCTTCAAATAAAACCTAATAGTGCAGTAAAAATTAACTTTGATTGCTCCTCTACTGGTTCCAGTAAAGGTAAATATTTTTTTATTTTTAACTAAATGATGTTGAAACTAGAGAAATTCTATGTGGCGGTCGTATTTATTGTACCTTAAAATTCCTATCACTGATAAAAATTAGCAACTAACTTTAAAAAAGCGCCAGCACAAAAAAATCATAGAGAGATTGTAGTACAAGGGTTTTTCTGTCTGTAAAAGTACGTCTCTCAATAATAATATAGAGGTATTATTTTTTTATGAGTGTAAGTAGAATTATAATCACACCTATTTTAACGATATACATACAATACACTGGTACTAATGGAAAATAAAACAATAAAGGCAAATCTGTTGGCCCATTGTCTTGAATTTACTATAATGGTTTCCAAAGGGGATTGCATGGAGGTAAAGGTATATTACTAGCAATGGGGACATATGTCCCCGTTACTAATAATCCTTTATGTGAGGAGTAGGTTGTGCAAGAATACAATATGTCACCATGTCTTCTCTATGGTGTAATGAAACTAAGGAAATTAAACATAATACATTAATTTAATAAAAGGAATACTTGATATAAACTGTATGATAAATTACTTGGCCTAATATCATAATGGTAGATTCATTACCTACATAAAGGTGTCAAAGGTGCAGTATTAACCTTTGTCACCTTCTGGGGTGAGACCTCATGACTAATAAGAGGTTATTATTTATAATGATGATAAGTAAAATTAAACACCTTGTTTATAAACAATATTATATATTAGAACAAGATTTTTTATAATGGCAATTTCTCTATCTAAGCACATCAGGTCACATAGACCCCATGGGGAGTAAAGATATCTTTTGTAATTTAAAATCTGCTACTGGCAATCACCAATATTTTGTAAATTAATAAAAGTTCAAATCAATTTAATTTGTCCTTAATACCGAAAATAATCTTTATGAGATTGTGCTAGTTAGAAGTCGCTCTTTTGTCTTTAATTTTATGTATTTTGCCTTTTGTAAAATATCCATTTCTTGCTGAATTAATATTCATTGAGTGTTTTTTTTTTGTTTTAGTTGCAATAAAGATGTAAATGAATAACAAACATTATATATATATATATATATATAATAACAAAAAATACTACTGAATTGAGAATCTTTGTCTTTCTAAATCAGTAAAATAAGCCTTCCCCGTAATAGTAAAATAACGGGAGCTATGCCAGTAGTTGTCACGTTTGGTAGTCAAGTTGACAAACATAGTTAGGTTTTTATTAATTTTTTAAGAGGGACACTACTGACTATCCCTTTACCTTTAAATTCCCTTATTCGCCTTTTATGACACCTACCGAAAAGAAAGGGGCGGTTTGTTCTATCCGAGGGCAATACCATACGAACCAGGACAAGCTATTTTACATTTATTTTATTGATAATGTTGTTATCATTTAGTTAATAACAAGCTTAACTTTTGCCTTATAAAATAGTACCTTTACTAGTTATGTAATAAAATTATTAAACTATTGTTTAATTGCATTTCAGGAGCTGCATTCATTTTATACAATTGTGCAAGACTGGAGACAATATTAAGAACTTACAATGACAAAGTGATTGAAGGCTCATATCCAGCTTTACCCAAATATGAAGATGTAGATCTGTCTTTGCTAACGCAAGAGGTAAATTTCATATTATGAATACAATAATGAAGGTATTAGAATAAAAGATATTTTTTAATTTTTGAATTTGTAAAAACTCCTTTGCTTGGGGATTTTAAACCATTTATTTCTATAGTTTACAATTACTATACATATTTCATACGAGCTTTTGCCCCCTATTCTGCACGCGTGTATTCCAGGAGTAGGAAAACTAATAAAATACACTATTTCTATATGGCATATCAAGATGAAATATAAAAGAATTTTAAGTTAGAACTTTAAGAATGTAGCTGTGAAAACTGGATCCAATTTAGAGCAGTAGTTTTTGTATGATCATTTTTTTTGTTTTATTTTAGCAATTCGCTGAATGGCAAATAAGCTGACGGCCCACCTGATGGAAAGTGGTAAACATCGCCTATAGATATGATATAGTATCATGGATATAAAAAAATATACTCTTTCGTCCACGATATCCCCCATGTTTTGTATTGCTAAGGTACCCTATAAATGTACCTATGTACCCCATAAATTCATTGCCATGTCCCACACTTAATTATTTCTAAAAAATATTGTTTTGGTTTTTATTCAACCTATTATGATTTCTCAGATCACGTACAGACATAATTTAGTTACAGTTTTATTATATTTATAAAGTGCGCATTTTTTTTTATTTTAGGATGAATGGTGCCTGATATTCAACTACATTTTGGGATTTCCATCCCTCATTGCCAACTGTGTTGAAATAAATGAGAAGAATTGCGAATTTCGACCGCACCTCATATGTAACTTCCTATGCTCTATGGTCAGGGTGTTTAGTCAGTATTATAGAAGAGTAAGGATATTAACAGTAAGTATTTTGTCTTTGGTCGGATATAATTAATATGACCACATTTTTTTATAACACAGGGGGCAAACGGTTCACCTGATGGTAAGTGATGGTGATAGGACTAATGCTAACTCATTACAACAATTGACAACAACAACAATTAACAACTCTTGTTGATTGGGGGGGGGGGGGGGGGGGAATGATTGTTAGTAATTGGGATTAGTAACTGTATTACTAGCAGTCGAGTGGTTTCACCTGCTAACCATCGTGATTGATTCGTTAGTGAATTTGTCACGATGGGTGAACATATAACATAAATAGGGGGGAAAGGGATTGTTAGTAACGGAGACTGAAAATCCTATTGCTAGCAATATACCCAACCAGGTCGACCTCCTCGCGGTTCTCCCTGGAAACTATCATGGTTAATTCCTGGTGAATTCATCATGATGGGCTAACTGGCCTGTTTTCATTCTCATCTATCACCCTTCACTGGTGCTCCGCCAGTGTATACCGATAGCGCAGGCGGGGTTACCATTCCATTATCATCTATTAAAAAAAACTGTTGTTAATTGTTAACAATAAAACAATAATAACAACTAACAGGATACGCTGGCGGAGCACCAGTGAAGGGTAATAGATGAGAATGAAAACAGGCTAGTTAGCCCATCATGATGAATTCATTAGGAATTAACCATGATAGTTTCCAGGGAGAACCGCGAGGAGTTCGACCTGGTTGGGTATATTGCTAGCAATGGGATTCTCAGTCTCTATTACTAACAATCCCTTTCCCCCTACTACTGGTAGATTTGGGTCCTTTATAACGCATGCCATGTGGTGTGGCATATGTTCTTTAATAATATGGCCAGTTCCTATGTTATCCTAAAGTCGCGAAATATTACTAACAGACTGTATTCCGTTTTAATGTAATAACTACCGGTTTAATTTACGAGTTCGAGAAATATCGACTGGTTTCGCAATCAATTCGTGGTCCTTATTCATGAGCGGCTGAGATGCGAGCTCGCGTTAATACATTAAAATGTATGATTACAAAACTTTTAACAATAAGACTGTATTCTTACCCCATCATTACAGCTGATTGTGCATGATCCATGGTGCTGTCCATTTCTATAGATGAAGTCTACTTTTCATAGAGCACTATATTCTTTTAGTATTTTAATATGTAAGGAGGCTTAGGCCTCAATGTCATTATTTTATCAATCAAAAAAACAATAGACCAGAACACCTACATACCAGCCAATTTAAAAAACTTAGTTTCCTTTTACCGAGAATCGAACCTGGGGCTTTATTTATTTACAGTAACTTGACTTCCATTATACTGTGAAGTTTGTATTAACAAAGTTGCTTTGTTCGACACTAGATGGCGCTGAATGACATGTCCGTTTAAAACTAAATATTATTATTTACTATACCTTAATTAATTTAAATCAAATTAATATTAAAAAAAAAATGCTGTATGCATCTGTAATTGTTGTAAATACAGTATTTGAGTCCACTATTTCATTAATATTGTTTTTTTTTGCGTTGTTGATAATTAAATAACTTTTTTTTTTATACAGGAACCAAGGAAACACATGCTGCCCGTAATGTTCGCTCGCATATATATGTTGAAAACAATAAATGATACGCTCAAAACATGTTTACACATATTAAATATTAAAAGTGTTTCACAAATGTAAACGGATTTTTTATTTTTCTCTTGCCCATCTGTATTATAATAGTTGCTACCGGCCATGCTCGATACCATACCGGTTTAAAGACATGATAGCTGAAAATAGCTGATAGCTGATACACATACAGTGTAATGTATAAAAATTTCAGATTATAATAAGTTTTTTGTGGTCAATGAAATCACAAACTTTCTTGTAATACATGGTCTTGTATAAGTTACAATACTCAGATGAATTTGTAATCGAATATCACTGATGTTATTATTTATCGGACTGGCCGTATGATTGTTTAAAAATATAATAATTGAAAATGTGACCTAAAGTATGAAATTATGTATTTTCCTTGCCTAGTACATATATAAATTAAATTAAGTACTCCTAAAAAAATTACCTAAATCCGTAGACTAAATATTAGGGACTTTGAAATATCTGAAGCTAGCAAGCTTAATAATTTACAAACGGTAACTGATTTAATTGTAAATATTGATTAATATGAAATCCGTGAACGCACTTCGAGCCCGATATGCTGCAGAAATTATTCAAAACAATAAAAAAACTTGCTCGATATATGTACTACTCTCCACTACAAAGAGCGTATAGAAAAAAAATGTTTTGTTTGGAAACACAAAGTTCACGTGATTGACCCAGGTATTTTATTGTGGGCATTGGCGTGTCGCGATTGGGCGACCGAGCGGTGCACGAACGCCGCCGACAAATCACGAAGCGGTTTACACGATCGCGCGTCCCGACTCGCCTAGTGTGTTTTTGACATCGGTGAACGCGGTCGTGAATTTCAGAGCGTATAAACATACTTTTATTTATAGTTTTAATCGAATAAAGTCGTGTAACGTTCGTGAATACCTGTGCAAACCGGGATACAATAAATATGAGTATTGCTGCACTGATCCAAGCTGCTGAATACATCGAAAGGCGCGATAGAGGTGAATTGGATTTTCTTTGTTTGAATTGTCAATCGAGTGCACTACACACGCACACGTCAACATGGCTCCCGTCTATTTTTGCCATGCCATAATCAGCTGATTTTGACGGAATGGCAGTTTTCTTTGTTGCAGAAGCGGAGCACGGTTACGCGTCGAGTTTACCGGCGTACGAAGAGTCTCGCTCTGGTGGCAAGCGTCCGAAGACTAAGAAATCTCAAGGCAGCAGGTGAGTGGAGAGTCGGCTCTCTAACAGTGGTAGTGCAGTGAAGTGAAGTTTATGTGAAATTAGTGCATCCGACGGACGGTTACATTGTATGTTTTCTGTTCCAGGACCACTCATAACGAGTTGGAAAAGAACAGGTTAGTGGTTTATGTATTATTTTGTGAATGCGGTGCGCTGGGAGTGCAAGCGTTGCCGGCTTGTGGTTCGCGCGTGGCGCAGTGACCTTGCGAGGCGTCTAATCCGATAGGGAAAGAGTGCACGAACGTAACGACGAGCGGGCGGGGCGGATGCGTCTCGTAACCCATTTGGCAGTGTTGCCACGGCCGAGTGTTGCCTAGTTATGTCATATTGCCGGGACGCTGATCTTCCTCTGTCGTCACCGGCCGGCTCCTAGTGCGGTCTGCACGTGCTGCGTTATCTTAGGATTACGCTGTTTGTATAGGCAGTATAGTACTAGTAGTCGACGAGGAGTTTGTTGCGAAACAAAGCCGTGCATTACACCTTATTTGCTGGGAGTAACCAGCCATTACATTTGAATAGGAATTTAGAACCGGTAACTAAGTGTATATGTTGGATACCTAGTCATTCTCGTTTCACTGCAATTTTAGAACTACCTGCGTACCTATTTGAAATCCGTTCGACCGTTTATGCATATTGTAGGTAGGTGAGTGACATCCATATGTTAGTACCTGCATAGGTATAGGCTATTAATCTTCGTCTATTCGGAACCGATTTTTTTTATTCTTTTTTTTAAATGTTTACCCGTGTGTTGGTTTCACATTAATTTTGTTGAGATAAAAATAGGATTTATATTTGAAAACAAAATGTAAATAAGCATCTAAGAAAAACACGTAACAAAAATTTATTTCACTCTTACTCTATTTATTCAAACACGTAAAAATATATATTTTGGTCAATTCAAGTCTTGCTTTATCTATGCACTAAAGTTTATACAAATGTAATAAAAAATACCTTTGCAATTTACGCATAGGTATTTTTTCTAATTCGATCGAAGAGGTTATCCAGGGGGAAAGAGTTTGTTAGCAATTGGGTCTAACGAACCCAAGGTTGACTTCCACGCGGTTCCCCTTGGAATTCGTCACGATGGGCTAACTGACCAGCCTTCATCCTCACATATTATTTATCTCTGGTGCCCTGCGAGCATATGCCAATAGCGCAGGCGGGGTTACCATTCCATTATCATTCATTTACTAAAAAAAGCAGTTATCCCTCCTGCGCTGTCGATATATAATATATTGGCAAAGTATCTAACGGTATGAAATGATTAGCGAGTTTGAAATCGGATCGTAACAAATACTTCAGGAATTAACCACTATGTTTTTCAAGAGGGGACCATAAGGGGGACGACCTGACAACGTATGTTTCTAGCAATATTGCTAATACACCCTATTTGGGGGAAGAGATTGTTAGTAATGGGGGAAGTTGGTTGACCTCCACGCGATTCCCTTTTGGAAACTACGTGACTAATTTATCGTTGAATTCGTCACGATGGCCTAATAGACCTGCCTTTTCATCCTCACAAATCATCCCTCACTGGTGCCCCGCCAGTGTATACCGATAGCGCAGGCGATGTAGCCATTTCATTACCATCCATTGAAAAAAAAAGATACACCCTAGTATTCACAATTTCTTCCCCAATGAATTTTTTTTTGATGGGTGAAAATGGTATGGTAACCCCGTCTACGCTAACGGGATACGCTGGCGGAGCACCAGTGAAGGGTGATAGATGAGAACGAAAACAGGCCAGTTAGCTCATCATGATGAATTCAACAGGAATTAACCATGATAGTTTTCAGGGGGAACCGCGAGGAGGTCGACCTGGTTGGGTATATTGCTAGCAATAGGATTCTCAGTCTCCATTACTAACAATCCCTTCCCCCCCCCCACCCCCAATGAATATTAATATAGGTGTAAAAATGTGATATTTTTACTCTATATTCAGATACCTGTAGATAAACAATATGTATTTGATGTTTTTGTGCATTATGCGTAAAAATTATTAATTCACTCTTGCGCCACCTACCCACTTCTATATGTTCTCCTTTAACCAAAGCTTGCCTGTAAGAGATTGTTCTAGCGATAACACCGCCTTTTGTACCTTCATATGTATATTTTGATCTGTACTCCATGCTACTGTATTTCACTTGAATTGTTTATATGTCATTGTTTATTTTTATATTTTTTGGTGCAATAAAGAGTTATATAAATAAATAAAATACCTGCTTCTAGGTAGCGGGTACTTGATAATCTATGTTATAAGTAGGTGATTCCTATCTAGTATGCTTACAAATAATCTTATCGGTTTTTTTCGAAATATCTACTACTTGAATGTTCATAGCAAATTTTTTTTTTGTGAATCTAATAAATGAACGTACTTTATTTGCATTAAACAAAAATGGGCATAAGCAAGACAATTTACAAACACAACGATACAATTGTATAAGTACAGTAAGGTGGTTTTATTGCTGAGAGCAATCTTTTCAAGACAACCTTAGGGTAATGGACTAATTGTTGTACAAGTAGGTATGATTATCATCATATATCAGCGTTTAACTGTCCACTGCTGAACATAAGCCTCCCCCTTTGGGGGGTCTGCCAGTAGTTGCCACGCTTGGCAGGGGATTGGTAACCGCAGTCAGGCTTTGGATATGTTTTAATAAGGACGCTGCGGGGGGGGGGGGAAAGGGATTGTTAGTAATGCAGACTAAGAATCCCATTGCTAGCAATATACCCAACCAGGTCGACCTGCTCGCGGTTCCCCCTGGAAACTATCATGGTTAATTCCTGATGAATTCATCATGATGGGCTAACTGGCCTGTTTTAATTCTCATCTATCACCCTTAACTGGTGCTCCGCCAGCGTATCCCGTTAGCGCAGGCGGGGTTACCATTCCATTTTCACCCAAGAAAAAAAAATGGACGCTGCTGCCCATCTTTCGCCCTTCCTTAATTGTTTTTTATGAAAGGAAGGGGGTGGCCTATTCTATGCCAGGACCACACGGCCACGTAAATATGATATTATTGTATAATTAAGAAGGTAAAACATGAATGAGAATAATTACAAGTACGTATTATCATGTAACTGGAGTAGTACTCAATCCGCTTGCGCTGTCGGTATACTCTGGTGGTATGGATACCTTTTTTTTAATGGATGACAGTGGTATGACAAACTCTTCCGTTAATGGTATACTCTAGACGGTCACCAGTGAATGATGATAGATGAAGATGAAACGGCAGGTCAGTTAGCCCATCGTGACTAATTCACTTAGAATTGAACACGATGGTTTCCAGGGTGAACCGCGTGGAGGTCGACCTGAGAGTGTGTATTGCTAGCAATGGGGCTAGTCCCTATTACTAACAATCCCTTCCTTCTCCGGTGGTATGGGTACCAGTGAGTGATGATAGGTGACGATGAAGTCAACTCAGTTGGGCCCTCGTGATGATCAAGAATTAACCAAGATGGTTTCCAGGGGCAGGGTAACTGGATGCGAGTTTTGATTTTTTATTTTTACCTAAATTAATTATTTTTTTTTTTCTCTAAATCGATAAAATTTCCTTGACGCGAGTACGATTCGAAATCAAAACTAGATTTAATTTTACATTTTTTTTTCAATCGGCTCCAAATAATAAAAGATCGTGTCCCACAAAAACAGACTTCAATTGTGACAAAATTAGTTGTTTTGATCTAAAAAACTAAATTGCTGAACCGATTTTGATAAAATTTCTACGAGATCATTTTGTAAGTATGTATATCCTTTAAGATAAAAAAATAATTTTCTAAATGAGTTACGGAGACTTAAATAGAGGAGAGTTAAACAAGTAACGGAGTTATAAGGTGATAAACATAAAAAAATACATCCGAATTCGGAGCCTTCCTCTTTTTGATGTTTTTTAAATTAGTTTTATTGTGAGCAAATGTACCTACGGCGGATTGTCCTCGTGTTGTTGGTTACGCCTCCCATTGTTACAGCGTGAGGTTTCCACACAGCGAGGCAGCAATTAAAATTGATTCCATAGTTTTTTCCGACCTACATGAATATAATATCAACGTTCAAGTATCGTACAAACATTAAAAAAAAATGGCATACAATGTGTTGTTTGTGAAGATTTTTTTTTATACAACTTAGAATGGCAAACAAGCTGACGGCCCACCTGATGGAAAGTGGTAACCGTCGCCTATAGACATGAGCAGTACCATGGACGTAACGGAGTATACTGTTTCGCCCATGATACCCCCCATGCGTTGCCATTCTGAGGACTTAAGTGTTATTCCTCTGTACCCTGTAAATTCACGCCATATCCCACCTTTCGAACCGAAACACAGCCATGCAAACACAACTGCTTTACGGTTGAAACACGAATGGGACAGAGGTGCCCAAGCAAACGACTTTTGTACAAAGTCTCCCTCTTGTAAAGATATAAAAACATAAAGATAAACAAGCAGTGACAGCAGCAGTATTTCCGAACCGATATGACATCATAACCTTCAAGAAAAGAGCATATTCCTTTTTAAAAGGCCGGCAGCACACCAGCAATGCCGCTGGTGTTGTGGGTGACCATGGGCGGCGGTAGTCACTTACCATCAGATGAGCCGCATGCTCGTTTGCCCTATGTGTTGTAAAAAAAGTATACTCGTGTTATCAAGAGGTAAGACGACCAGTGACTTATAGAACAATAAAAAAAAAAGGAATAAATATTTTATTTAATAAAATAAAATTACATAAAAGTTCACGTTATGGACACGGTAGTTACATTTCAAATAATAATAATAAAAAATAATCCTTACATTCATTGTCATCATAATTAGCGTCCCTCTTAAAACATCTCTAGTCTGAATGCGGTTGCCAACCCGCCTGCCAATCGTGGCAACTACTGGCAAAACTCCCCTTATGGGGAAAGCTTATGTTCAGCAGTGGACAGTAAAAGGCTGATATGATGACGATGAGGACTTGCTCAAGTGTAAAAAATAAACTGTACTCCTATGGTTTGTATTTTACATAATATTGATTTTTTTTTACGTAATTAGCAATCCAAATTAACGTTATTTGCCAACGTTAATTGAAATAAAGCTATAATTGAAGTAGAGTTGTCGACTGCTTATTGATATGTTTTAATTA